TAATGAGATTAAACTCAACAACTCTCAAATATGTTGCCACAAATGATGAATGTTTCATTTTTAGGAATTTCCTGAGGACTTCTTAAAATTATTCTTATATTTTAATGTCCCGAGTGCGTCCAGAATGAGTTGTCAGTGCGTTCTGCGTTTTTTATTGGCTAAACATTGCACTTTTGACGCACCCCAAATGCATCACAGTTAATTTAAGTTAATTTATCATATTCTTATTTTACAGAATGCAGTAAATCAAATCAAACAAATAAACATTAGCCAAGTGAAAAAGTCAAAACGATATTGGATACGAGAAACAGAATTTGTTGAAAAGAAACGAATCAAATCACGAATTTATGAAGACAAGAAAAAATTATAATATTGTTCTGAAGGTCTAACTCGATCTTGCCTCTTGAAATAGTTAAATAGAATAATTAGAATGATATTTTTTTTGAAATACATTGACATAAATTATACATTTATTATATAGAAAAATTATGAAGATGTGAACGTAACACGTTATTCGTGTTTTAAAGATTATCCATTTATATAAGTCATATTATCTGAGATAAGCGTTAAAAATCCCTCGAGATAACATGAGCAATTATACTATTTATATTTTCAAAACCAAGGTGGATTGTTTAAAAGCTCGTGAGTAGGGACTCTTATACAAGAAACCGCTTGTAAATTCTCAAACGAAAAAAGCTTGAATATTCATTTGATTTTTAAATGTATTGAACTTAAATCTTTTCAAGTTCTCAATATCATGGAGTAACTGAGAGTAAAAAATGCAAGTAATTGTTATGTAACTTGTCCATAGTTAATCACTTCAAACAATATAATATGCTATGATTCACCAAGGTAAGCTCACTTCTCACTAGTGAACATATAAAACATTTAATGAAAAATAAATAATAATGTTGATTAAAAAGAAAAGCGTAGTTATAAAAACATTTGAAAACGATAAACTATGATATTATATCTTATTAATCGATGTCGCTTCAATTACACATTAGAATTTTTTTTGTATGCATAACATCCAAATGTTTTAAAAATCTAGACTGTGTTTAAATAAACAAGAACTTAAACCAATTACAAATACCGGTGATACACGACTGCGGACGGTTCTTATCGGGGCGACCTTTTTATTGACACGATTGCGAACGATTATAGTTTATCAGCGGACCCCCGAATATTACATTATTGCGGACACATGTTGCCCAATTTATAAATAATACTTCGATAATGTGGGTATGTGGAAATTCTGAGAGTGATCAGAACGTGGTAAAGAGTTAGTTCTACACAAAACGAATAAATATGGATTTAGGCGACTGCGGAAAGATGGAATTTTGAAATGGTTATGTACAAATAAAGTATGTAGTGCAAGTATTTTGACGGCATCGGTGGCAAAAAAAGATTTAGATAGAATCAACCTAACTATTCAGAGCTATAATGATAACAAAAATCACCAAAACGTGATACAATATTTAAAAAAAATTAGTTGTCATTACAGGGAGAAAAAAATATAAATTTAATTAATTTATTATTATATTGAGCTCTTGACTTTAAATGTGTATATTATATTATTATATTGAGCGTTTGCTTTTTACTTTTTTTGATTTTCAATTTTTAGCTTTAAATGTTTATATTATATTATTATATTGAGCACTTGTTTTTTACTTTTTTTGATTTTCAATTTTTAACTGTGTTGTTAAGAACTTTTATAAAATTGATAATATTTGGGCTTGGTAGACCGCGTCGCACAACTTGGCAACGTTTCATTAAATTTCGACCGCAGTCGTGTCATTTTTCGGATGCAACATAAGACCTTTTGTTCTATAATGATCGTCCGCAATCGTGTTGCAAAAAAGGTGAAGCGTCCGCAATCGTGTTTCACCCACAAATACGATGTGCGTTGTAACTAATTATCGATTTGTCATAATATAGTCATTAAAGAAGATGGGACAGTAAGAACATAGGTACTTACTGAAAGAGTCTGAAAAAAATATTATTTTTTATCTTGGGTAGTTATTAATAGAACAATTAGAAGCAATAGTCAATAGGTATGAATTGTATAGTTTAGTTCAATGTAGTAGAACATTTTGACTTTATCTTCCGCTACTTTATGTATTTGTAATAAGTATAGATTATACAGAATATTACAGACTATCTTATAGTACAGGGTGGCCACTACACCTATCTTTTTTATCTTTTTTTCGCAAATTTATAAGGTTAATTCGAGGTGAGCCACATTGTAGAGCAATGTTCATAAAATGAAGATACATTTTTCATTTTAAATCAAATGAAGGAACTCTGGCGTGGACGAAACACACAGCGATTATTTTTGGCTACACATATTAAGAGCTCCGTCACCACCACTGCCGTGCCAATCTATACCTAATAACGACTGAAATGATAACGAAATTGACGGCAATAAAAACTACTATCTGACGGTTCTAATGAAATTTTATATTTAATAATTTTAGTCTAAGTTTGGTACAAGAGCCGCACGAAATTGATTTAAGAGCCGCGTGCGGCTCGCGAGCCTCGTTGTGACCACCTATCTGTTATAGTATATGTTACCACTTACCTATACCTACTAAGTACACATTTTAGAGTACTGTTAATGCTTTAAAATAGCTTCATTATTGTGTGTGCTTAATATAAAACAAGGGGTATGTACTTTGATTTATGGTTTATAGCAGTGGTTCATACAATTTTTTTATCAGTGTGACCCTTTTTGATGTCCACTTGTATTGCGAAACCCCTACTCTTTTATATTATTTTAGCTTTTAGTTTTTATTTAGCTTTCAACAATAAATTAATGCTTGACTATAGACTATACACATTACCATTTAATATAGAAAATGATTTTTTTATATAGTAAAAGCATTTATTTAAAGTGAAACTTTTTTAGACGCCTTTGAGTAAAATAGATTTATAGGATTTGCTGTTGAGATCAAAAAGTGTTAGGGGGTGGTGTACTCGACCGGGCCCAATCAGATGATCAGATTTTACCTGCCGGTCACCGTGTTTCTTCTAGTATAAATAATAATAAATTTGGTTTATAAGCATATCCTTGTTTATTTTATTTTTTTTAATTTTTCCATCACAAAAATAACGTCAATTGACCGTGAAAAAAATTATTTTCATACCCTCTGTAAAAAAATGTTCACTTCATCCACGTGTCCCTTGCAACACACTCGTTTTTTTCTATTAGCCGCTACTAATCTTTCGTTAGAAAATGAGCACTCAAGTTTCCGCGGAACACAGTTAAAGAAACTCTGGCTTATTTAATCGACCTAATTTTCCATTGAAATATAGATACATATATATTAAAAATAAAACACTTTAATTTTCAAATTTGAACTAGATCTTTTGGAAAATAACAACTTATACTTAAAGAAGACTTTACGGACGAAGTGTACTCTAATGTTTCTAATCTTCAGTTTTTTTTTTCAATATTATGAAAGTTTAAAATAATTTCATTGAATTATGTTAACATATTAACTCGTCAATGCCTAGGCTAGGAGAAAAGTATCACGGGAAGTTATAATATAGTAAATTATACCTAGACAAATTTGCAATACTAAAAAAAAAAACAGAACAATTACATACTCGAGTAAAAATCCAGTAATACTAAATAAAAAACAAATATTTTTTTTATTGTATATAATCGAAATAAAACTAAAAATATGGAAAAATTATGGTGTGTGGACATATAACTTACCAGGATATTCTATAAAAAGTTAGAAGTAATAGTTAGTCAATAAAAGTATTTAATTAAGATTATATTAAATTTGAGATAAAACTATAGACTAAAAACAGTAAAAACTATGGTATAATGGGGCCGGGAACAAACAATTATAGTGCCCAAACACCGATACTACTTACACCTTGTTACCAACCGACCGACCATTGTGTGTATGTATGTGTAACCATTAACCACTGAAGAGAGGTGGCAGGGATTGCCGAGCAAAACTCAAGAGCGCTAGTGAGTGGTGGACGTGTAGGTGTATATGTATATATATATATATATGTGTGTGTGTGTGAAGGCTTAAAACTAATGGTAGGAGGGTAAATCAAATAAATGGTTACATGGTTTCTGGTAACTTTGAGTTGCTTGCATAGTCATACAAATTTAAATAGTACAGAATACAACTGTAAATAATACAAAAATTATAAAAAAAGATGGCCCTTCCGGCCCAACAAAATGATAATGACAAATATACTCAGTTATTTGAGCTGAAACTCGTAAAGTATAAATATATCCTACTGGCTCAACAATATAATAATAATCATATACGGCTCTTTTGGCTTAAAACTCAATGTTTTATTAAAAAAAATAATGAAAAAAACTGGCCAGCTGCTACCTGTGCCCAAATAAATAAAAATTGACACACAATTTTTTTTCAGTTTATAAAATACTTTTATTTTCAACTTTGTGGTTGACTCTTGGTAGAAAAACGGCGGGAACAAAAAAATCGAGGAAGTACGGGATCAGTAGTTTGGACTACGAAGTCTCTCGAATTGTCTTATTATAGACAATTGAAATATAATAATCTGTAAACTGTTACTGCACTATAGCAAATCGTATGAATTAATTAATACAACATTTCGTTAACAAAAAAATAATGAAAATCCGTACCCTGGTTTATGAATCCTAAAAATAAAGAGAACAAATAAATTATAATAATACATTGGTAGATACATTTTGTTTTCAATTAATAAAATTATTTTGGATAGAACACTGCAGATTTTTATTAAATATTGTAGTATTTCAACATGCAATCATTAAAATGTTTTAGTTTCTAACCTAGCTTTAATTTTAAAGATTTTTCTTAATATTAAATCTAAGAGTTTGTAACATTAATTATGAATGACGTTTCATTGCAGAAGTATAAAATATACAGAATATGAAATTTAATTTTAGGATAAATTTTATTAAGATGATTGTGTACAGTCACGACATTTGATACTTAAAAATGAAAGTTTTCTTGAATAATTACCATTTTCATCCAGGTATATTTCTTTATCTCTTGTTTCATCATCTGAAATTTAATAACATTACCATTGTACTAGAATGTTTTCACACAAGCCAGTTTTATTTTTTTTGTAATTTATTGCACACGATAAGTTTAATACACCAGTAGGCAACAGAAGTACTTAAATTTTGTAATTTTTTAATAAAAAATCTACCATTCGGATCATTGATTGCATATTGTTGTACTAATATACAATGGGTACAGTGGGTGTTCGAAAAATGGACATCAATCAAACGTATTGATATTTTAGTTTGTTGAAAATTGAAATGTCTAGTCAGGAATTTGGTTTTAGCAGTGAGAGGATTGTGTGGATTCAATGATACATTTTAATATTAAAAAATTTAAAAAAAAAATTAATTACTTATATTAAGTAAATTAATAATTATTGTTTTGTGTTATGCTCAAATTCCCAAGTATATAAAATTAAAATAGCTTCGATTTCTCTTTAATAGAACGTTACACGATATTAATTGTTCTTCCGGTCTTACAAATGCGTAACATAAGAAATAATGAGACAACAAATTTTAGTGTAACGCCCACTTAAGAACATACAAATCAATGATAATAATTATGTCTATATGTCACATATTCTAAAAAAAAAAATATGTAATTATAATAAAATAACTTTCCTTTAATTTGAATTAACTTACTAATAAAATGAGTATACTTTTCTAGAAATGCTGTTAAATACATAATATCTTCGTTTATATTGAAATCAATGTCAGTCAAAAATGGTCGAAACGATCATTCGATACCTTGATTGACAGTCTTGGTCGAACACTAGAGCGACATAGGATGTTAGACGTGTCTTTTACCAAACTCATCGATTTATATAGTGAAGCGATAAGAATTCTGAAAACAAATTTGAATTTGTCATCAATTCTCCTTGTGATCAACTTCGATACATTGTTTTTTTTTTTTAATTCCCCAAAAATTGGAGTATGGCAATTGTTTAGTTACTCTTTTTAATATAAGTAACGTTTTTAAGACTTTTGGGGTTAGAATATCAAAAATATTTGAACTTTGATCTCAAGTATTCTTGATGACTAAAATTAAAATAAGTTTTTAAAATGAATGTTTAGCAATTAATTAGATGAATTGGTACGACTGGCAAGCAACACGTCTAAAATCGTACATGTATTAGACTAAGACAGAACATCACGGTTTTTATAATGGTACTTTATAGTTTATATCATAAATATTTAAAAAATCTGTTTGTCTACTAAAAATTAGTCAAAGATATTACTTATGCAAAATTGTTCAACTAAAAAAAAAATACATTATTATACGTAAATCACGTTTTCTATTTATAGAAATCAAAAGATAATAATTTTCACATAATAATAGGCTCTAAAAAAAATAATTGTAAAAGTTATAACTTTTAGTACACTTCAGCTGGATGTACTAAAATTTGTTTTTACATATTCGGCGTAAGTACAGAAGATTAAATATTTCATAAAAATCAAAAAAATATCGATTCTATAACAAATCGTTGATTGTAACATTTTGAATACCAATATTATAATACTATATACAAGTTGATTCATCAAGCATGATCACTAATATATTATCCTTTAGTAATAAATTTATTCGAATTCTGATTACTGGAATTTTTAAATATACTCAAACATGATTTTTGCAAATTCTTGAATTTTCTGTACTATTTAAGAGTGTCCTGTGGTGGTATAAACCTCTGTTATTCAGATGAAAAACTCCCTAGTTTTAACTGTAAATTATTTAGTGGATAATTTTTTTGAAAAGGTAGATGGAATTAGATAAAAATAATTAAAAACGGTTTTACAAGAATGTAAAATAGGTGTAATATTGAAACTAGTATCGACTATAATTGGGTCATTTTTACAAATTATTAATGTAGAAAGATAAATTATAATGACTAATATTTTAAAATTAAAATACCCCCTTTGGATATTTTAATTTTTATCCTTGGGACACAAAGTTAATTAACCAAAAAACTACACATACGAATTTTGAATTACAAACTTCGAATTTTGAAGAAAACTGGTGAAAAATTGCATTTCCCATTTGAAAAACAAATGTTTGTATCTCCACATTCCATTCTTTAAGCAGTGAAAAATTTCTCAAGATATTGAAAATATGGTTTTTAATTTTATTTAAATAACCCGAAATTTAGGTTTTAAATAACTGCACTATTGAAGAAAAATCTGGTCAGCATGCTATAAGTGAATCATCATGTTAACAACTTATGCGTGAATGATATTTTATTTGTCTCTACAGTAATAAATACTTTAAAAAATGTATGGACAATAATTATTAAAATTTATTTCAGTCTTCAAAAATAATTCTAAAATTTTTTTACAAATACTCAATAACATAATATGATATAGACGTAATTAATAAACGTATACACACCGTATTCGGGAAGTACCCCTTTAGGACGTGAAGGATCTGCTATTGAACTCGAACCACCACTTCTACTTGCACCACTAGAACCATTAGTGGCTTGCACATCCCAAAATGATGTGACTTTAAGTGCAATCGTTACGAAATAAGCCTTAAAAGAAAACATTTTAATTAAATATAAGTTAATAATAAAAATAATGTGACCGTTGAACAATAAAATAAAATTAAAGAAATAATGCTTGCCGGGCCTCTTTTATAACCGAATACCTCGTCCTAAATAATGTTCAAAGTAAAGTATTTATTTAGTAAAACCAAACAACCAAAAAAAAAAAAAATACTATTGAACACTGTTTTTTATTTTTACACTTGAACTAATATAAATTTAAGAAATAATAAAAAAATAAACAGGAATAATGTATAGGTATTTAACACATACCTGAATTATTTACTACACATATTTTTTTACTAGCATGCATAATTTTACATATTTTCTAAACTAATGCTTTATTCAAATTCAATAAATATACGTATGTGTACTTATATAATACTAGTGATAAATTTAGTTAATTTGTATTTTGTATTAAAGCATTATGAATACCCGTAGTAGATAAATTAAAATTATTAAAATAAAATATCATAAAATATTATGCAGTTACTATTATATATTAGAATAATGACAGTTACTGGCTGCGTGGTAGCGTTGTATTGTGTTGTGAGCTGCATAGGAATAGTGTCCCTAGAAATACGAAAATGTACGTCTCAAATTTCAAATTCGCTTCTTGGTTTTTACGCAACACATTTGAGTAGCTTTCAGGACTTTCTCGTGACGTATTGTACGGGTTGCGCCCTGATTTATAACTGATTGTTTCGTTACTGTTTAATGATCAAAATATTTTCCTTCGATCCTTTTCAATTACTCAATGTCTCTATTCAATAGTCTATTGGTCTCTAACTGGCTTCAAACAATTATTGTATGGTAACTTACTGTGTAAATTATCTGAAACAGCTGATTGTTTAGCTTGTGACTAGCTAAAATTTCTGCAGAAATTATATTTGGTATAAAATATAAATTCAAATCAGTCATTCTTTCTATTAAACTATAAAACGCATTTTTATACATAAACATAGTCAAAAATCTTCTGGAAACTTATTTTTGTTTTGTCATATTTTTCTAGGTCACATAGTATTACGATTATACATCTGTTTAAAACATCTATATGTTCTATACAGCCTACTCGCCGTTTTTTTTCATACTAGTTACTGACTCAGGTTTTATATACATGAAACAAAAAAATAAAAACTTAACAACTGTTATTCGTTTTTTAGGTTCATCGCAGTATGTTAGTCGTTCTACAACCAACTTAACCAGATAAAAACTACAGTTCATAGGCATAAGAAGTTAGAGACACATGTACGGAAAAAAAATGTTACATACAAATTAAAAATATTGAACACGAATACACTATACCGCTGCTTACTGATACAATAACAGCGAATACGAAATAACAACTCATATTCATGCTAAGAAAGTATAGGAAACCATTATAGGTAAATGAGGCAAAAAAGCAATATAAATCTAAAATTACCACAAACAGTTGTATGTTAGATGCTTATTGATTTGGTATTATTACCTATTATTGAATATATGATTATTGATTAGATAAAACGTATAACTATTAAACATGTTACAGTTTAGTATTCTAAATCGTAGAAGTATTATACTACATCTATATATTGAAATATATATAATATAATTTCCCAATCAATGCACAAAAACGAAGAATAAATAAAAAATTCTCTTAAAAAATATTTAAAAATATAATGATGACGGATTAAGAAAGTAATGTTAATTCATTAATAATGTTGAAATTGACTTATAATTATTACTGTTTCTCAACAATAATATTTTTTACTATTAAGTATTTATACCTGTCATACTGAGGCGCATAGAAAGATTAATATATTTTTTTTTTTAATTTTTCGTACCAATGGCGATGATACTCTAATTTCAGCAACATATCAGGACTCCTGAACTGCTTGTCGGATGATCCAAAGTCACCTAAATGTGATTAACTTATGGACAACACAGCGGAAAATAAAAATCAATGAAAACAAGTCAACTCATGTAACTTTTTCATTGCGCAATTCTGATTGCCCACCTGTCACGTTTAATAACAAAGTAATTCCTTCATCAGACAAAGTAAAGTACCTAGGGTTAATATTTGACAAACGCCTTGACTGGAGCTCGTATCTAAAACAAAAACGTAAATCTGTGAACTCGAGACTACATCACTTGAGACCCCTATTAAAATGGAAACTTTTTCTAGCAAACAAACTTACGATATACAAATCGATAATTAGTCCGGCTTGGCTTTACGGCATCCTACTATGGGGATCAGCAACGCCATCAAACACCAAAACCTTGCAATCTTTCCAATCCATATGTTTACGCTTAATAGCCTCTGCCCCTTGGTTGTAACCAGCAAAAACCTCCACAAAGACCTCAATATTCCAACCCTCAACGACTTAGCTAAATCCCATTACATAAAACTCCACTCAAAACTTCGCGCTCATTCAAATCTACTAATTGAAAATCTATCCACTATCTCACTCATTCTTAGAAGGTCAAAAAGAAAGTACGAGAAGCTATGCAGGCGATCCAATAAAATGGTTGAGTTTGTGTGACTAACTGTAATGGATGATGTTCAATTATTCATACATTTGTAACTTCAAAATAATATATAAATATTCGAGATTTCGTCAAGTTTTAAAAATTAAATGCTTATAAAAAATATAGCGTCTGTGTAAGTTTAATTTTTAACTGTTTCTAACTGTTTAGTTATCATACCATTTTATGAGGGATCTCGTATTACATTTTCAAGCTTTTTAAAGGGAGGAAAAATGTTTTATTGACGTTTATAGAAAAAATGCTTAAACAATTTTTAAACGTCTATAAATACTTTGTACAATCCGAATTGTTATCAATGGGAGTTTGGTCACCAGTTTCTTAGAAAAAAACTTCTCTCTTAGCTCTCTAAAAACTAATGACTACATGTTCAGTATCAGATAATCAGAAATTTTAAATTTCAGTAACGACACCAAATTGAGTCCCCTTTTCTATGGTTTAAAATTGCTGCAGTTAGTATGCACTAATTGTTGCAGGTATCTTGAATAGGTAGCACAATAATAATACAGTTTTCTATTTAAACATGTCTGTATAATATATTATAGTGATAAATAAAATATTACACAATACATATACCGATAGTGATATAATATAATATAATATAATTTTATAATTAATTAATTCACAGAAAACCAATATTATATAGGCGCAGGACACGCGAGTATTATTGTATAATATAATATATGTTATTTTAAATAATAAGGTAAAATTGGACCTTGACTACAACGTGAATCTGGAAAGTAATACAATTTGATATTAATTATGTATAATGCTAAATTGCGTTCGTTTTATTTTTCGGACGCCTTTCGTTGTACAATTATATTATATATATATTATGTACCTATTATAAAATATTGTAAAGGGCTAACATATATAATATTTCAACTATATAAGAATCGTTTCCACACATATAATATGTATATTAGCTAGTAGTATTTACTATAATATGATAAAATATTTAACCACATCCCTTCAATTGTCTAAATATAAATATAAATATCATAAGGATTTAAGGGCTTACGGTTAGGTTGATGCACATCATGCTCATCGCGACAATTATGAATACAACAGTAGTCGGTATAACGAGAACAATATTGACGAATTATTATATTATACTTACAATATAATTAACAATCGTCAGCCGTTTCTAAATAATTTTAATCTTAAACAATAAACGGCGAGTGGAAAAAAGTTTGTTTTTCGAAACAGCCCTGACTCTACATTTGTTGTGTATTTGGAGTATATACCAGGGATGGTGAACTAATGTCACAGCGTTGCATATGTAGATAATTTTGAGTGAAAACTCAATTGAATATATTTCTGTTTAAACGCTTACCAGTGTTTCCTATTCTTGCATGAGTGTAAGTGTGAATAGGGGGGGGGGCTAATAGTGTTATCAGTAGACTCCGTTAGCTCAGTAAACTATATTTTTAGTTTTAGTTATTATATTTGTTTTTTTTTAAATAAGTGTTTAATCGATAATAGTCGTTTTCAATTTATAATTATTATTTCACTTTCTATGAAAAAAAAAAACAGAAGTACTAATTGAAAATGATTTGACGTAGGTATTCATTTTTAACGTTCACAATAAATTCTACATTATTTTTATTACTATCCCGAAGATGTGACTCGACACTGATTTTATTGAGTGAAAAAGTCTTCCAAATTAATGTTTTTCTATGAAAAAATTAGCATTTTACACAATGAGTTTAATTAAATTGACATTAAGGAAGGGAAACAGATATTAGTAGTGTAGCATGTATTTAATTTAAATCTACTAATTGTTATCCTATGATTAATTTATTAGCTTTAAAAAAGCAGCAAAAAATTTGAAATTTTTCATAAAAAACTAATTTATAAATAATACATCCAAAAAACATGTCTATTTCAATTTTTTTTTTATTCTAGTGCTTAATACTTAACTATATTTCAATCAATGTATCAATACAAATGACGTGTCCATATTAATATGTATTTGATACAATGTTGAGTATAAATTGTACAATATAATATTATACTCAATGGCAATAATGAACAATGTAAAGTTTAAGCTTGACAACTTATATCTGATTGGATCATTAATGTGTGTATTTATAAATTATTCCACACTGACAAGCCTGCTTACGAAAAAATCTCAGATTTTTGATTTCGACACTCAAATACTATAAAGTTCACCACCCCTGGTATGTACGAATCATAGACATAATATAAACTAGTTTATAGGTCTATGGTACGAATATGTTTTTTTTATATAATATGACATATAAATATTTAGTATATATATGTGTTCATATATCTATATTTATTATAATAGGTAATTATTTAAATATGATAAACACTATATAAATGGTATAATATAATGTTATGTATATAGTAATATAATTAAATTATCACAAATCACAAAATGTATAATATAGCACTGCACACACCCAACACGATTTCGTCGCGCGTTACACGTAAAAAATAGAGATATCATTTAATATAATATATTTTATAGAGTCGTTTGTAAGTATAATATAATATTTAAAAATGTAATTTTACCTAAACGGGATATTGAGTGTTGGGAGACGACGGAAAAGAGGGATTATCAGCAATACAGAAATATAGGTTGACGAGGAAGTACATAGGTACGGAAGTGGTAGTCGGGAACGTCACACTCAGACACGCACACACACAAATGTATAATATTATATCAAATAATAGAATATAAATGTGATGAATATTATGAGACTAATTTTTTTATTCAGGAGGAGAGATTCCTTTTTTTTTTTGTTTGAATTAATAGTCTACGACGTTGAGATTAATATAATAATATGTTTATATATATTTTTTATTTTTCGCCACTACGCTATCGACTTTGTCGTCTTCGATACCAGACGTCTTCACGCTCCGTTTCACCACGGTCGTTTCCAAGTCGGTATTCTGCTGACCTCTCGCTGGAGTCTCGGTGTCTCTTCTCGTCTTTGCAGAAAAGTTGTCATTTTTCATCTGGTGGATATCGTTCGATTCTAAAAGTACACGGAAAAACCATAAACATTTGTATTGGATCGCTTCGCAACAAGTAACAACTACATTATAACTCTTTTATAATATTTTAGAAATTGGTATACGTTATAATATTATTTTTGTTGCTGACAATCTATAATAATTGTAACGAGTGGCATTAAATGATTAACATGATAATTTAAATAAGTTCTCAAGTCCAAATATTATTATCAATACGATCTTATACCTGGATTGGGGTAGGCATCTAGGTATTTGCTAAAACCTTCTTTGGCGGCGGCCATCAGTTCCGGATGTTCGGTCAATGTATCCGAAAGCGAAGTTATCAGTAAATCTGAAACGAAAACCAAATATAAGTACCGATAATATTATTTATAAGTCAAACATTATATGGTCCCTTCTGAACATGCTTATAAGGTAGGTACATATAACAACTACCAATATTTCTTCTTGGGTAATTTATAATAACAGAAAGGCTAGTATATAATATATATATATATTACAATTTATCTTTGACAGCCCGTTTATGTATTTTGACTTACCCAATATCTTTTTCTCAAGGGCTCTAGAAATTCTTCCCCGGCTCGCTTCTGTTTCCAAGAAGTCCGTGAACTTTTGTAAAGATTCTTGAGCTTCCGACCCGCCTAAAATGCGAAAAACATCAAACCATATCATCAATCAATGACGGTTAATTTTGTAATATAATTTTATTAGGACCAAATTATCGATTTTTGCTTTTGCAAAGAGAAAAATATGTCGTGGATCTGAAAATTGTATTCTTGTCTTAACTATGGCTCATTTTAAAGGAAAGCATTCTATTTATACCGACATTTATTTTAGAATGTCAACTATTTACAAACTTACAACCCACACGTATAATGTTACATTTTCAATGTTTATAAAGTTGGTTAGTAGTTTGTAGAGTATTTACATCTTGTACACAATATGGAAATAACTATGTGTATATTTTTGCTCTTCGCAATCAACATTATACTTTAATTTGAGGTCTCGGCATGTAAAATAGGTTTAATAGTATGTTAAATATTATTATAATTCACGGTCGTCCTCGAAAGTTATATATATTTTGTGCTTTGATTGCAATAACAAAAAATAACTAAATTTTTCTTAACTAGATATTATATTGTTTTATTTAAATCTAGGAGGTATTTTAATTTTTCATGGTTATGTTAAAGCTAATACAAAAAATATCTTATACAAACTATCATAGCCAGCAACATTATCTAGTTATCAATGTATAATAAAGACTTTACTATGAAATTATTAAGACTTATTTGTTATAAATATATCATATTTTAATGAGAATGGTTAAAATTATTATTTATTAATATGACCTTAGATTGCATACCCATAGCGCCGTGTTAAGACTTGATGGTATAACATTATACAAAATTTTAAACATATTAAAAATGTAATATATTGTAATATTATTATTTACTTCGATCAATCAATATATAAAGAATTTATGATATTATTTTTTAACATTTTTTTTTTAAATGATTTTACTGGTTTTGGTTGATACAATACCAACGCCACTGAACGAATAAAATATGAATAGATTTAAAAATTTATAAATATCTATAACAGTGATATTTTTTTTGCTTAATCATTCCACTTAACTTTTTGAAGGAAATAGTTTGGTGATAATCTCTACGAGTTAAGTACAGTATTTTATACTTTTGCGATCCAAAACCTCGTGCTTGTTGATATTTTAAGACTTACATCCTATAATTCTATGTTTTATTCCTCCAGATCACCGTGAAACACAATTTAACACGGTAACACAATAATTAAATATTAACATAAACAAGAAGGCAAAATTAATTGCTTCCACGTCAGTCAGCTCAAAAATACCCTATATTTGTATGCTTTCTAAAATTGAAACTCCAGTCCGAACTACGTCCGATAATAGAACTTCGATATTTTAATTTAAAAAATAAAAAAATGACATAAAATTAAACCTTTGGGATTAACAACTTATGTAACTCCTCTCCCCTGAATATTATATATATATCTGTAGCTACTGACGAGACTTACCGATAAAAAGTCCCTGGTTGAACATGAGCTTAGCTAGTTGATAAATGATTTCGTCCATCATCGTTTGGGCATACGTATAATCTGATGGAGCCGTCAGCGTTTCCAAAAGTCGATTATACTGTGAATCAGACATGCGCAGTTTGGCTTCTAAGATTTTTCGAATTCCTGAAAAGAATAATATAAAAAGGTTATTCATAAAAAGTGAAAACAAAGTCAATTTTACGGTCAGTACGTTTTGAGTTGTAATCTTCCTCATCCAAGTCGATGCTTTTTTTGCTATACTTGTCTCGGAGTAACTGTTGCATTTCTTTTAGTTCGGTCAACGTTCCATCAATGTCATTGAAATCGGAAGATTCATAGTTCTTTTGGAATTTTATTGGGTTTTCCTATTAAAAAAAACGTTAAAATGTAAATGATTTTGGTTAACAAAATACATTAAATTTAACATTTTAACAATTTACATTTATTATTCTGATAATTTACCTAACAAATCCCATATTATGATATGAATTTTGTTTAAAGGGTAATTTTTCTGTCACTTACATGGCGTTTTCATAAAAATAATGTTCTACATAGTATATTATGTATGATAGTGGATGAATTAAAGTTGGAAATGGATGGAACAAAAGACATAAAACAAAGTATGGCATGACGCGTACAATACTAGGTAATACAATACACTTCTACCTCGGACATAATATGTGAAGTGTATTGGCGGCTTCTTTAATATGAAAATTAATTAAAACACTGTCGGATCATGCGCTTTGCATAATAAGCATAATATGCCAAGATTATACACTTAGGTACATTTGAACATTTCCCGTATAATATGTATAGGGTATACATTTCTCCAGCGGCTCGTTTTTCTCTGACAGGCAAACTTTTCGACAGAAAATAATATAATAATATTGCAGTAAGCGGCGTTATTGTCACTGTTGAAATACGATTTTTAAACGACGCACGCGATGACTGCTATGCTCGTTGAACACGATTATTACGACACGGTCTGTTGTACGTCATAATATTGCGCAGTGCATCGATTCCGATAATATCGCGTAATGTAAGCAGGACACGTGAAATCTGAGAATTATTCGTACACTGCGGCGATAAAAAACAGAAATTTCGATTATTTTACTGCACCAGATGTATGTATATGCATGTATATATATTGTATATTATATATATGAGTGTGTGTATCGCGTGGGTGTGCCGGGTACAAATGTGATTGGGATGGGTTTCGATTTGAAACGAATGTTTACAGCTACTTCACGTGGGTAGTTCCGATGTAATAAATTATACGTTCCGAGAATAATATAAAGGTATATAATATTATACGGTGTGTATTCTGCACGTTTCGAATACCTATGTATACAGTGTACGTGCATACAGATTACGGAGTGATCCATTCGACCGCAGCCTGTTTGAATACATTTATTTTATAAGCCTTCAGTTATGCGATGTCGAAAAAACAAAAATTCAATTACGTTCCTTGTAACTTGTAAGGTTAACAGATTTTTAGTTTGACCAAACATAAAACACAGGTCTAAAATTGTACTCCATCATAAAGATATAATGCCTATATACTTTATTATTTTCCGAAACCAATGACAGGAACAACATTTAAATAAGAATAGCATTATGGTACTCGATATTTTTCATCGGCAAGGAAGATTGAGGAATCATAGATAAGTATTCTTTTATTATTGATTCGTGTTTCTTTGGCTTTAAAAATTCTGAAACCTCTATATCTGTCAGACAAAAAAGCTGTATTCAACCCAGAAACATATCTATGTTAAAATGATTGGGTTTTCACGGTTTTAACTATATTCAAGTATTCAAAGGGTATGGGTTGAAAAGTAAAAAATATCCTAGACCCTACTACGATTCTTATTGAATCTATTGACGACAATTTTATGAAAATCATCATAAAACTGTGGATTTGCATGAGGCTCATCCGTTGTACTCCTTTGATATTATATGGTAGATAATATATATTTATTGATTATTGTTGATCCTGCACTGCACTGGCTGTGGAAAATTAATTAAATAATGTTAATGGATGTACCGTGTCTCAAACTCCATTAAAACTAAGCTACACACATTTCTAACACAGTCATTTGGGTGGTTTTGGTCTGAAATTCTATCCAATTATCGATAGCCATTTTACTTTCAGTAATTTGCAGTGCCAACCCTAAACGAATAGAAGGATATATTGGTTTTTCGTGAGCCAACAGTTATATATATATATATATATATATATATGTGAGCCTTAATATTCTCGTTTATTATTGGATTACGTATATACCGAATATTATGGATCACACACACACACACACACACACACACACACACACATTGCCTTTTATTAATATAATATGTAGCAAGTGGGCCTCGCTACAATCGCAAAAGGTTGGGCACTACTATTAATGTGTATACGATTTAATAATATGTACTCACGATGTCTTTGTTTGATACTTCTACGCTTGGGTCGGAGTACCGGGCGTCGAGTCGGTACAGCTCCCTGTCGATCTTGTCTAAGTAAGCCAAAGCCGATTCGCGATCCAACTGAAACAAACGAATCGCAGGAAGTCCAGCTGTAAGTTACGACTATCACGTCACAGTTAGACAGGGTGGTAAATGTATATTACTATAATATTAGGGTATCAAGGTGGTATACCGTGATTGACATGAAGTATAATATGTCATATATTGATGAAACGGAGTCGAATCAAGCGCGGCGCATAGTTATCGACCAAGGCTTATTCATAATTTTTTTTTTTTTTGCAATTACATATTAAGGTTTGAAATTCTCTTATTTAATTCCATTGCAATTACTTATTTGTGTTGTCCGAAGAACATAAAGGTCTGTCTGTAAGGCAGACGAACTTGGTCTACTACCCCGCTTCTCCTCTTTTTGACATACTATACATACTTAATATGCAATATACTACACAAAATATTTTTCAACTTGGAATTTTTTTAAATTTATTTATTTAAGTATATTTTGGATTAATTATTATCGTTCAACGTTCAAAAAATTACAACCATTGAATTAGTTGGTGTTGTTATTTTGAATATCGCATTTGCAATCATTCTTATTAATATACGTCATCATAACGGGATATGTGGTAATTGTTCTTAACTCTTAATCATGCACAACAAAGTTAAATCTTAGATTTAGAATAATCCATTTCACTCTTAATATTGGAGTGAATTTATCTTCCATTTATTTTCAGTTAAAAAAAAATTTTGAAAAAACCTACTTGAGTCTTTAGAAAAATCCCTGAGATTAAATTTTTACTCTAAAATTAAATAGTTTCTCGATTCACTTTAATATGAAAAAACATTAGAATAATATAGAGTATTTTGAGTCTAAGATTTGCCCTATGAAGGGTTAAATAACTTTTATTTTATTGTTATAAATTTACTATAGTTATATACCCTTACAAACGCATAATTACCTATATTTTAATTTGTATTCCGAACTACATTTAATAAGTTTCTATTTTTCTTGAATTAGGTAATCTACAATTGAAGGGTTGGCAATTTTTTATTTACTTTCGGCCCTGTAATTCCTAAGAAAGGCCACGAAAGAAGGTAATAAAATAAGAGAAAGTGTTTAACCGTTTTAAAGCTGATAAATAAGTCAATTGCAAACCTTTTATACTTCCCCATTTTAATAACAACAATATTAAACATTTAACAATATTTTACATTAGTAGTACTTAATGAGATTTTAAAAAAGTAAAACATTTTTCAAATATACTGTTTGCAACTACTCCATTCATTCTCTGGGACTTAACTCAATGTTTATGGAACCCAATTAGTTAAGGTGAGTTACTTCTTGAAGAAGAGTAGGTATCATATTATCGTTTTAAATTTTTTGTTCGGTTTAAAGTTTTTTGTTTATAAATAATATATTGCTTTGTATACAAATCTGCATTTTATACCTATATTTATTGTTATGGTGAAAAGGAAATTTATTGGTTTTATACACAACGATGTTTTTGTTTCGTATATTTTTTTTATCATCCTTTTCGTTTGAACACTTCTGGGTGGAGGTATATATTATGATATATAGTGTTGAAAAAAATCCTTGGTACGCCTTAACAAATCGAAAGAGGCTTTGAAGATGTCTTTTTTATATTCTAAATTGTTTCTCTAAGCTTATTATCTATCATAAGTGAAAAATATACGCAGACAACAATTTAAAAAACGCATTGCGTTTTACTGACTTTAAAATATAAATAGTATTATATTATTGTCCGTTGTGAAAATGATTCAAATACTGTTCAACTATATTATGATACTTCAGAAAGTCATGCAGTCTTAATCAGTTACAAATAACTGAGTGGGACTTCACTACTACTACTATAAGACATGTCCAACTAACCGTGAACCTTAGCATATTTTTGAAGTGATCTGTGCTCTGTGAATCAATAGTATATTAATATAATAATATGTATAGGTGTATTTGATTTTGTCATTACCAATTCTAAATCGCTTTTTAGGTAGTATCGGTTGTTGAAAAACTGTAATATTTATAGTAACTGCCTGACAATTTAAAATTGAGTATAGTAATAAATCTTTAACGACTATGTGGTTTCCTGGAAATTTGATATGAACCAAAATAATAATAATATGTGCGTTAAAGTAATAACAATGTACATCGCTTACACATATATTATAAAATGATACCAATTACAGCGCGATTTACCAAGCATATTCATCCCCGCATTATTTCATTCAAAAACGATTTTATTGATGTTCTCCCTTTTGAAATCCATGCGCTAATTAACAAAGGCCATATTTTCGAATTATTGGGATTAATTCCTATTACTTAAAAAGAGTCCTATGGTTATACAAATTTCTGTTTTTCTAATGAAACCCGCCATTCTTTATATTTTTATTTTTATTTAAATTTTTATGTATCTATTTCAAATTTTTTTAGGAGTAGTTTTTCAGTTAGGTATTTAAATGTGTATACTAAGATTAAAAGTCTTTGAACATGGTTTTACAAAATTGTAATATACATACATTACATATAAAAAGGTTGCTACACACTGCAGCGGTAGCGGTGGCGGTAAAATGAGTCCGGACACAATTTATCGCCACCGCGGCGTGGCACCGCTAAGACAAAAGAAAATTTCACCGCCACCGATCTAGTGTGTGTGTACCTTTATGTTGGATCTAGTGTTTATTATACTTTGATCATTTAAAAAAATTACAAATTTTGATGGAATAATGTTGATAAACAATATTTTTAGATCAACATGACATGGAACTCCACCAGTACAACGCAATAAAGATCAAACAGAAATTACCAGATACTTCATAATATAATGGGTACTCGCACCCACTCCCGATGAATCCAGAAAACTATTAAGTTTCATCAACGAATCTGAATTCTATCATCGAATTTAAACTAAGTAAATCAATGTGCAAGTATAATATATGGATAAACGTAATTTAATGTAAATATTGTAATACCGGAAAAAATCACAACATGTATGCCTTAAATACAAAATAATAATAATAAAAAATATTAATGTACCTTTATAATATTATACTTATACGCCTATGAACATGTCCGTTTACAGTTTAAATTGTAAAACGAATAATTTATTTTGATGCGTACAGTATTATTATGACATACCTATAGTCATATTCCTAAAATGTATTATTGATGTTATTATTATTTTATAGCATGTAGGTGCCCTTTTCAATTGAAATGTTTCCTCACGTTGCATTTTGGTCATTGTGTGTTATAACTTATATTACACTATATATACTTTCTCGGGAGTATAATAATATGTTAAACTTCAAAGTTTTCTCTCCGTTTTCGTTAATTTAGTAACTGTATGTAAATTACAAACCATCCCGACCAAATTCACTGATGTGCGGCGATTAACGTTTCACAATGAAAAATTAAACTTCAAGACGTTACACGCGTGTACTTTTGTGAAAATTATACTTACAGCCAATGAATTATATTATACATATTTTCTAATAAATTATCATGCATCTGGCTGTGCTTTGTTTCGAACAGCAATTATAATATGAGTGTTTCAGCGAACTCGTTTTAGGAGTGTCTGAATTACAACTACACTGTACTTTTAGAACAATAACTATAGTACGAGGCTTGAGCAAGGGAAGAAGATTGAAGACAAGAAAAAATATGTATGAACACATTAATGAACAAATGTTTAAGTACTTATTTTCTAAAGGTACTTAAAAGTTTATAATATCGTGATGATATATGTTACGGATGCATCGAATTTTGAGGAACCTTCCGCGTAGAGTTCGATAATGCAATAATTCAGATGTATGAAAATCGAAATTGTTTAATAGGAATACATAATGTTGCGAGTATAATATTGTTTAATATGTATTATTTAATATCGTATCCTATACAGACAAACGGAAAAACGATTAAATGTATAACAAACTAACATTTATTTTTAACGATACATCGATTTTGTTATTTTTTTCTTCTTGTGACTTGTAATGTTTTGCATATTATACACATAGAGTGTAATATTTATAAATTATGTTTGTCCAACTAATGTTTTGATTTAATCTTTTTAAATAAAACCGGGAATATTCATTTCGAATACCTCTAAGTTGAACAGTTTATTAATTATTTGCGATTTTATATGATATATAGCTGATCCGGCAAATATTATATTGCTCGTAAAGAATTTTTTTGCTAATAAAATTTTTTCGCGACACCTAACCAAAACAAAATATTAGTTTGAGTACCAACAGAACCTAATATCTGAATACGGCTTCCGTGAATTTTGTGGCTTCCGAGATTAGTGAGTACTTACAGAAGCACAATCATTTTTATATAGGCTTTCTAACTACTAAACTATTGGAAAGTCAGAGTACCTACCCATATGTTTAGTAAATATTTTCATTTTGAATATTGATGATATACAATATACAATGATAGGACTAAGCATTTAGGAATCAAGTATTGAAGCATGATTAGAATTTATAACAAGTTAGAACGTAAATATTTTATTGGTGAATTTTATAAAATGTGTAGGCGTTAGGTATTTTGAGTTTTAACATTTTTAATTTTAATGTGCGATGAATGGTTAAATATATTTTGATTATATTTTTAAAACATCATTAATCCTCTTATATAATATTTCTATTATTATTATAGAACCTTGATACTTTGAACATAATATGTATATTGATTTTTTTTATTATTTGATGGTTTGTTTTGAATTATTGTGGTTCTCTCTTGTCTAGAAGCGGACTTGTGACACACGTCTATAATAATTACGATACGATGAATATTGTGTTCGCCAATTCAGTCATTAGGTTTTGGACTGATTAATTATTAACAAAATATTTTAGTAATTGCATATAACTATAATATAATAATTAGGTTATGATATTTTCCTCATTGAATTTTTATAATATTTCTGAAAGTAATAATAATTTACTACTGAATTCATTAAATAATTTCATTAGAATTCTGTTGGCTTGTTATTGTTTTTCTCGAAATAATAATATTTTATTCATGAACATTGTTCACTATATTATATTGA